CATAACATTCTTGTCGAACAAATGCCCAAAGTATGAAGGCCTGGGGTAATTAGAGTAGTAGCTACTGTAAATCGTTTCCTCACAATTTGGCTAACGGCAAAGGCTGCAGTCTCGGTGAGTCAATATGCTCGTTGGAGAGAGGAACATAACAACATATCGCCAGGGTGCTCGTCTGCACAGATTTGTCACACACCCTCGCTCCGTCTCTCTGATTGGCTCGAAGGGGCTGTGGCGGTTGCCCTTTTCCAAGTTACGGTGACACGAAGTATAGGCAGCCCACACTTTTGAAAAAAAGTATATTGAAGAGACCGAATGGAATGGCAGTCAACATTTTTTAATAAGACTGCTCTTCAGGCGTGGGATGAACACAAATATGAATCACCTTATCCAGGTAATTAGAACAAGTAAATAATTGACCGACTAATACAATGCACTCTTGATGAAAAAAAATGTGGGTGCAATAAAACCTATGAAAGAGAAAAATGTGGAGTTAATTTATGCGTACAGCAAAAAAGCTGTTCTTATAGCAAGTCGAATAGCTTTGAAGCAGGCTTCTGCAACGATTTATTCATCCCCACACTCAATGAAACGTCATCCTTGAAGAATAATTTGGAGTTGGGCAAGTTGGTGCACCTTAGATTCGAAAAGCGCCAGAAAACAAGGACAACAGAAGGAATAGACGAAACGATGCGCTTTTTTCAATCTGAAAATAAAAGTGCCTTTCGCACTCACAAAAAAAAAAAAAACGGAAAAAAAAGCGATCAAATGTAGGATCGTTGATAAGCAGAAACGGTTAGAGGTCTCAGGAGCTTCCTCGCTAAAAGTTGCTATGGTTATTCGGTGACGGAGGGCTGAAACAACTTGGCCTGGGCGCTAACGCGACGTATATCTTTCGCTTTGATTATCACCCTACTGAGAAAAAAAACAAAAAAAAAAACATTTGGCGTCTATATGAAAGTAAACGGGTTCATAGTTCATACCGTTAACAATTTAGCCATTCCGGCCACCAGTTTGTCAAAGGGGTCCCCGTATGAGCCATAACGGTCAACTATTTGGGCATACAGGTCACTTCTTTGGCAAACGGGTCAGTTGTCTGGGCAAATGGGTCACTCGTTTGAGCAAAGTTGTCGCACGTTTGCTCAAACCGGTGACCATGTTCCACAGACGGGTGACCGGTGACCGGCAAGCTGTACCGGTTTAATCAAACGGCTATCCGGAGCCCGTTTATTACTGAACGTACAAATCGGGGGCATGGGCACGCCAGTTTCAGCTGTGTCAGCCTGTTACGGGAAAGCCGGGAGCGCCGGTTCATCGATTTACAATCGTCCGCGTAATGCAAGTAAGTATATTTATAATTCGATTGCGTTGATGTTCGCTTATACTGCAACAACAATAAACATTTTTCTTACGTAAACATGCGACGTTGCCGAGCCGATATTTTTTACAGAATTTTAAAACTTTGGCGTTCTTTGTTGCCTCAATTTACTTATTCAGCTTGAATCTCTCTCGCAGAGGACGCGACCGCGTGAAAGAATATACTTCTTGACTCCGTTTCGCCTCAATTCAAGACTCAGCGAAGTTAACGCGCGATCACGTGGCTGCACGAACATCGAGCATTACGAGAACAGGCCCGCTGTTGCAGCAGTCAAATTACGAGCTCGCACTGGGTGCTTTTTTCGCTCAGGCGCAAGCCGAGCTTCAGGCCGGCGCGCGCCACTTCCAGCGTTCAAGCGTGCTGAAAAAATTCGCCTTCTTTCCGAGGCTGCAAACGCGGCGTAGTCAACTTTCTGTGGCAATTCGAAGAGAGGAGGAAAGCGCGTGTACAGCAGTACAGCGGTTAGTGCACCTTCTCCCCTAGCATTGGCTGCAATAAAAAAATAAAAAAAATAAACCGTGAGTTTTTAGGTTTTTTTTTGTTTTTTTTTTTATAGAAGGGTGGGGGTTGTCCCGATTCCCGGTGTCCTGCGCCTTGACTTCGCCCCCTCCCTCCTCTCTGGTCAGCTCTGTCACGTCACCCGCAGCAGCGCGCGATCTAGACGCTGATAAGCATCGAGATCCGCAAGGGCGCGCCTGGCAGCCGCTTTTTTCATTGTCTGCTTGTTGTCAGTTGCAGTTCGAACTTCGCTCGTCCTACCTGCTTCGACCTGTCGTCTAACCCTGCGGTTTTATTAGGATGTCTCTCGACAGCATATTGGATGTGCACCAAAGCTATCAGTGTTCGAAAAGTCCCACGCGTATAGACCTTTGCAAAAAGAGCTCTCTGGGTGCCGCCATTTTGCGAAACGAGCGACCCCTATCAGCCAGAAATTTCTGCCACCCACCTGAGCTGTGGAAACCCGGTCAGCGTGACTCCCCACCTGCATTGTGCATTCGGAGTTCGGCGGCTTTTCTTGGAAGTTTTTACTTTATTTGCCTGTTTAGGAAGCTTAACCTTTGTATGTTATCTTCCATGTGAGAACCAGGGAATACCAGGGCTCGGCCTTCGCAGGAAACGAACCAAGAGAGCGAACGTCAAGCAGCCCGCGACGCTGGCAGTTCGACGCGTTCCTGGAGGATTATTTCAGTTGAGATAATCTCCGAAAAGCCTTCTCGGTTATGTTCCGGGTCTTCGCGAAAAATAGCTGATAGGGTCGGGTCCGGGCTGTGGGGACGGAATAGACCCCTTTCGGAGTAGAGCGCCACCTGTTGCACGCAACTGCAACTAGGTCCGCCGCCATCACGCAGGGGTCCCGCCAGAACCGCCTGCATTACCGCCTACAACTGTACTGCTTTCACTTTGAGTCCCAGTCTGCGCGCGCCGCATCAATATGCCATCGCATTGCTGCGTACCTTTGTGTACGCAGGATGGATACGTTTACGGAGACGGAAAAAAGGTACGTGTCAGACAAGTTCAAAGTGGTCAAAAAGAAAAACCGTGTCCTCGTGTTGTTTACAAAACTTTCGCGGGTTAGACAAGAAGACGCTTTTATCATCCGTAAGTAGAAGCATCGCAAACGATTATATGTTGTAGCAGTGTGGCCGTGTGTCGAGCCCCGTCCTTAACTAGAAAGGTACGGCCGCGGTTCAGTGCGCGGCTCGCATGCGCAAGCGGCTCCCTCCTTCAGTGCTTCTTCACTGCAACCGAGGCCATTTTAGGTACTTTTTCGGCGTGTAGATGCATGATTACTTCTTCCGCAAGTTCATTCCCTTTACTCACGCCGGTAAAGAGTTTTCCAGAAAACAGACGTCGGGTGGAGGGGGTGTACAGACTAAATGCAGTGTACACCGAATCTGAAGATCACTCGAACCCGCCTTGCGATCGTGGGAACTTTTGGAGTGGTGGCCTAAACAGAGTGCCAAGGCCGTACCGCTAGACGTTTAGGGACGTTACGCTACTAATCAGTTTGGAAATTTGTAAGAATGCAGCCAAAGAGTTGGTGTTTAGAGCATATTCAACAATTGTTATTCTGTTCGACGGTTTTTATTCCTGAACACATTGTATGTTGTTCTTGGGTCTTCCTCTTGCTTCGGTAGCAGGAACCCTTGATGAAGAAACTTCCTGCACTGAATGGGACAAAAAAAAATTATACACCGGTTTTACACTCAAACAGCTGTGCATATTTTCTGTGCAAAAGTGTGCAGTTCCAGCACATTTTTTTTTTTTTTTTTTGCAATGTCGCATTTTGAGTGGGTTCAAACAAACGTGGTACGTTTACAAACGCCGTGAAATAAACCCAATACATCAGTGGTCCTGAAAGGTTTACTCTAGCTTTGTGAGCAATGCCCATAAACCGCTAACTTCTTAGTCTTTAAAAGGTTACCGAGGAAGGAATTTAAAATGCTGCCTGCCACCCACCCGTACAACCTTTTCTGCTGTTCTGTACGATTTGCGATTGCTTCAACACTCAAGGTTGTGACTCGTGAGGCGCGTTTTGCAGTTACTGGTATGCGGTCGTAAGTTTATTGGAGGGGTACGACAAACGAAACGAGTGAGTTCTCGGCTTTCACCGAACGACAAGTTCACGACGGGGGCAGCGTACTGGGTCGTTTGGAGTGGCCACGCTAAAAGCTCGATCACTATGATTAACTGTATTAAAATTATGGAATGTTAATAAAAAAATCACTAGAAAACAAGAAAGAACTTGTCGAACCCTGCGTAATGGCGGCGATCACCCAATGTTGCTAGATGTTTTACTATTCCGGCTAAATTTTTTTCAGTGTTGCCGAAATTCCGAAAGGGGTCTATAGACACGTTCGTTGATTTGCTTTAAAGCTCTGCGAAAAATCAGCTCTCTTTTACATGTGCCCCAAAACACACCGGATTCCATCCGAGACCTTTCTCAAATCCTGTTCGGATAATGCGGCACCGTGGGGTACGTACAGTTATGTTGTTCGATTGATGATACTCGTTGAATTTCAAGTTGTGGGCGGGGAATATCCATTCAGTTCAGCTATCCTGTGGTGTGGTCAAATAATTTCGACGGTTAAAGCCTTTGAAAAGTGACACGGCAGAGTGTATGGTGCCGTAAAAAGATCAATATAATATAAAACAAACATCCCAGTTGCATTTGTTCTGTCGTGCACGGACTCACCAAAACAGCTTTCATTTATTTGTTTTTGTCCCCAAAAATAGTAAAATGCATTCTTAAAAACCCAGAGAAATTCTATTCGCGATAGAACATAAATAAAAAGAAAATAAAAAATGGAACGCGGCAATTCAGCTTCTACCAGCGTCCAGAAGTGCACCTACGCAGGCTGCCATAGCCCACTGAGGAGAAAACCCACAGCTCAGCGCAGTCGGGCGACACTGACATACCCTCTCAAAACCAGGGACGCGCGCTCTCAATCGCTTCGTTCGAGACTGCCGCTGGAAAGGTCTATATCGGCAACAAGCGATTCTTCAAAGCAATCAGTAATGCTTGCGGTTTTGTTGGATTCGGCAAATGACAGCTTGCGCGCCGCATCGTGTTAAAACTTCAAGGAACCTTCCTTCTCCATTTTGTGTTTGTGTGGTTGTCCAGCTTTCACCGTGTCCAGCTTTCCGGCAGGACGGCCTGCGTAAAATTCCAATCTATCGAATCTTCCATTCTTGAGCTGGGCAGCAGGGGCACGCCCCAGGGCTCGGTGTTGTCCCCCCTCCTCTTTAACGTGGCCATGTGCGCGCTCCCCGGGCAGTTGGAACGCATCGAGGGGCTACAATTCAGCCTCTACGCAGATGACATTACCTTATGGGTCAACCAGGGTAGTGACTCGGAAATTGAACAAAGACTCCAGGCGGCGACCGACACAATCGTGAGGTACGCGGCCGAGCGAGGATTGGCTTGTTCGCCACAAAAATCGGAACTATTCGTCTACAACACTAGGCATCTCCGGTGTAAGGCACCGTCGGATATTCTAATTCAGGTAGCGGGAGCAGAGGTCCCAAAAGTAGAACAGATACGAATTCTCGGCCTAGTTCTCCAGTCTCACGGCCACAACGGAGAGACTCTAAAGCGACTGGAGAGCCACGTGATGCAGACACTGAGCCTCATCAGGCGGGTTGCGAGCAAAGGGCGAGGATTAAAAGAAAAGAATTTAATGAGGCTGGTACAAGCTTTCATATTCAGCAGAGTTAGCTACTCTACGCCTTATCTCGACTTAAAGTCGGCAGGAAAGATGAAAATTGACGGATTAATACGTAGATGCGTCAAGCGCGCGCTGGGCCTGCCCACGTGCGCATCCACGGAGCGACTTTTGGCGCTCGGGATGCACAACACGTGGGTGGAACTGGCGGAAGCGGTGCGCACATCTCAGATTGAGAGATTGTGCGCCACAAAAACGGGCAGGACTATCCTGGCTAAAGTAGGAATCAATCCGCACAGGGGCCCAATCCTGAGGGCAGAAATTAAGGAGGGAATCAGAAGCTGGCTAACCATCCCCCCTTTACCTAAGAATATGCATCCCGAGCATAATAAGATCAGAAGAGAGAAGAGAGCAGAGGCCATTAGTCTCCGGTATAGGGAGCTGCCCTCGGAGCAGGTAGCGTATGTGGACGCCGCTTGTGGCCACGACGGACGTGCGGTAGCCGCGGTGGTTGATGGCCGCGGAAATGCCGTTACGGCAGTCTCCTTAAGGACGCGCTCTGCTGAAGTGGCGGAGGAAGTTGCGGTAGCATTGGCTTGCGTCGGCACAGAAGCAAATTTCATCATAAGCGACAGTAAAACTGCCATCCACAATTTTAGTGCAGGCAGAATCTCGCCTGCGGCGGCGAAGATTCTCGATCAGCGACAAATTGCGAGGAAAATTACGTTGATCTGGACACCGGCACATGCCTCCGTCCCCGGCAACGAGGCGGCTCACGAGCTAGCTCGAGGTTTATACCACCGGGCTGGTGAGGACCCCCTCTGGCAAGGGAGCGGTGAACGCATGGTAAAATATGGGGAAATTACTCAACATTACAGATTGGAACGTAGGCTGGTACCCCCACCAGACCCGTCATTAAATAATACGCAGGCAGTCGCGTGGCGACGACTCCAAACATACACGTACCCACACCCAATCCTGGTGAACCACATGTTCCCGGATATAAGATCAGACGAGTGTACACACTGCGGGTTGAGAGGGTCCCTCGACCATATAATCTGGGAATGCTCAAATTCTCCTGGGAGGGCGCTAAATATCGCTTCTAAAGAATCCTGGGAGACCCTGCTGCGCAGTTCGGACCCTGAGCTCCAGCTCCGCCTCGTCCGACTGGCTGAAGAGGCCGCCGGGACACAAGACCTCCTGGCCAGCATCTAAAGCGGTGCCTCCTGCCTCCCTGGCCTGGTGCCGAGGGGGGAGGGAGAATGCCAATTCTGTCGGACAATAAATGTTCTTTCCTCCTCCTCCTCCTCACCGTGTCGACATATATTTTGACAACATTTTTCGAGTCGGGTATTATTATGGTGAGTCCACTGCAACCTACTTGTTGGCAACGATTGACCGTTCTTCTACGCGTACTCTTTCAGATTATCCATAGAATTATGCAGCGTCTAATCTCGTGGCAGCCGAGAGAATAATTTACCCCAAAGTCTACAATATAGTTTGAAATTACATTGGCTGCATAAAAGCTTAGAGTGCCTCTTCACATTTCACAGATCGCTTGCACGTTTGTACTTGTCTACGAAATAAGTTGTAATAAACTTCTAGGCGAATCGGAAACAATCTTTTGTGTCTGTTTTCTTGTTCATTTGCAAGCACCTGCGCGAGTACGATTGTTTCCACGTGTTTCCTCGATGTTAGGAATAGGCCTATGAGTTTTGGGACGTCTTAATTAAGTTTAAGATAACCAACCTTCCAGACGACACCCGTTTAGGTCTAGCGAATAATTTGCCTATCCGAATTGCGCGTTCAAATGTGTGGTCACGTGCCCGATCGAACGGGCACCCGCATCAAAACGGGTACCGTTTCAAACGGGCACCCGTATCCCATAATCACGTTTGATCCATACGGATCGACAGGTTTCCCATCCATTTGATTCAAACGGGTCTACCAGTGTCCCACCCGTTTGAATTTAAAATGATTTTTTTTTCAGCAGGGCAGACATTCCAACGTTCAAACGAAGCTAGAGAAATGCGAATATTTTATGCCTGAAGTTATATCGTAAAATTGTTGCTAAGGGCAAAACGTAAAGATCGCAGGAGCTTCCTCGCTAAACGTTGCTGTGATTATGCAGTTACCTAGGGCTGAAACAAGTTCCCTAGTCCCTACATCCGACGCATACATTTCGCGTCGATTCTTAGACATTTCAACGTTCAAACAAAGCTAAAAAAAGACGAAAATTTTAGGCTAAAAGCACTCAAAGTTCTATCGATCGTCGAACACATCCCGGAATCCGAGCACCGGTATGGCGATACGGCTGATGCTGTCTCACAGGTGTTAATATCCAGATGATCCAGAGCGATCTTGCGGAAAAAGGGTATAATGTCTCATTTCTTCATTTTTTCACATTATGCCTGTGTCAGCGAACACGAAGAATCCAGAAGTCGTCGAAAAGTAGCGATCAAACTCGCATCCGCCAGCTCTGGGCGCTGCCACCGCAGGCCACGTGCCGAGGGGTCACATTTGCATACAACGTGGCGGCAACCGGGGGGTACCACTTCCGAACTTCCGGTTTAACACTCTAAGCCCCTCTACCTCGTTGAATCTCTATGTCTATTTGCTGGATCGCGTTTTCCCGTCCGCGAATGCGGCCACTGGCGGCCATCTTTTTGGTAGAGTTATATCACCTCTAGCCATGCCATGGTAGTATGGTGTCGCCATCTATCGCCCGTTAGATGGGGTACAGCTCTACACTCTTAGAAAAAAGGGTCAGTATAGTCCTCACTAAATGGAGGAACGCTCTTGACACATATGTTCCTTCAGAAAGGGAGACATTTTCGTCCCTAAAGCAGGGGAGCAAAAGTTCCTCCGTCGCCTGCATCTCATTATGGCGGCCACGAATCGAGCAAATCGAGCTCAGTAAGGCTCAACGAGAACACTAAGTGTATTGTACGGAGCAAGAGGAGCAGCAAATAAAAAGGTAACACGAGCTTTCCACGAACTGTATTAATTTCCGAAGCCGGTTTCCCCCTGTAGGTAAAGAAACTTACGTATCGAAAGCAAGCAGTCATTCAGACTTCTCATCGTCAGCACTGCGATGTTAAACGGAGATAGCCGGCACCCAATTCGCGCACTTTATGTATTACCTTTGCTATTCCTCGATCCACATTTCCTTCGTCAACTGTTGAGTAAAGTGCACATCACGGAGGAGTGGTCAACCATCCGCCCGCAAAACCAGAAGCCACTCTCAAAAAAAGCAAATCCGAAGCAGCCTCTTGACTCATTTCAGCACGGTAAAAGAGGAAATTATGGTCTAGCCGCGCAGAGTAAAAGGAGGTTAAATTGCTTGCCACCAGATGGCAGGGTCAAGCAGAGTAGTTGCAAGTAACTGGGCTACGTGGCGCTAGGTACTGCTCAATTCATGTTCTACAAGCAATATTTTTATTTTTTCACGACACCATTGCACTTCGGGAACCTCTATCATACACACATGTAGACACATTACGCATGGTACAAGCTACATACACATGCACCCCACATACAAACATCAATAGAACAGCACACTAACCCGATGACTACTCCCGAGCTCCGCGTTTCCGGCTTTTATACCGGTCGTTTTGAACGTACGGAATTTCTCGGTGACTCCCAAAGCAACAAAAAATATTCCCAGCATGTTGATTTTGTTGCAGCAATGTAATACACCTGAGAGTATTTATAATAGCTTAGGGGATGAATCTCTTATTAAAAAGAAAACGCAGGATTATGCCGTAATTATTTGAAAGCCAATAAGTCGAGCTGCTCCAATACAGTTCCAAGTCATGAGTTTGTTTCCACACTTGGCACTTTGTGGCCTGTATTTCTATTGTAGTCTTTGTTTTTCTATTTGTGCTGTTCGCGCAAAGCTGCAATTGCCGTCTTGAATTAATCTCTGTAGAGAGGATATTCACTCAGCTGGAAGTGATGCTTCACGGGCTGAGAAATCGCTTTTCAATCAACGTGAATGCAGTCAAAGCCGCGACTTGCGGCAGGTGTTAAGTTTACGGAGCTACGCCGTGGCGAGCTCGAAAACTTCTTGCGCTCATCCCAGCGCGCCACTTGGAGGGCAGTTTCTCCAGTAACCGTAGTATATTTAAACAGCAAAATAAAGGATAGTCTTTTTTTCGATTTTACCTGTTTTTTTTTTAATGCTAAAATTCTACTGTACGTATACATGCTTTCCGTCATAATTTCGTACTGTTCAGTCTTTTCCCCAGAGCACAATCGCTCACAGGGACCGACAGTCAGACTGGCCACTGTACGAAAGGAGTTTACCGTTCAGACCAGCGTTCTAACATGACTATCCGCACGTCGATCGACTGCACCTAATTCCTCAAGTCGTCTTAAACTCTTTAATGTAAAGCGGAATGTCAACCTGCGACACCCCGCCCCCTCCGATCACGGCCCGACCAGCGGCATCAATGCCCGACAGTTTACGTAATCTCATCTTGTTACACCACTGATACGCGAACACACGGCCACATCGGCGATAATTCCAGTCTTCTGTTCACTACGCAAAACAATGCCATCACGATGTTGCTGCTATGTTTCTGACACGTAGAAATACAGAACCACGTTGAACGCCGGTTGGCACTAGGGACGGGAAAACAGAGCCGAACTCAGCACGGAAGGCACCCAGGCAGCCGACAGCAAAAATCTGGCTGTCTTGCACGCAGTTCCTGCGATTTCCATAACGTCGAAAACGTCGACACAGTTCCGCGTGGTTCCGGTACTGTGGTTCCGCTACTGTAGTTCCGCGTGGGTCCCACCACAATCCAGAGACGGCCATCTTACCCAGTGTACGTAGCGCTGCTGGCACTGCTCCGGAACTTCGCTATTTCTAGTGGCTTCGTTTGCTTGTTTGATAAAATTGGTGGTAAAAACGTCAAGGCAACCAAAATGTTCTGCACGTTTGGACTAGAAGAAGGAAGCACACGCGGCCTTCGCTGCCGCTGAAGCTTAATCAACTCAACAACATTTATTTAACAACGTGCGCGACGTGCTCGAAAAACGAAACCGAAAGAAGATGAGTCGGGAGGGCGAAAGCTTTCTCCCGTCTGCCTGGAGAAGGAGGAAAACGTTTCGTACCTCCCTGTTTCTCGTGTCCGCTTGGGGGCGCTTGAGTAGAAGGAAGGAAGACGCGCCGTTGCTACCTTTTCCCTCCATTTTTTCTTAGAGTATATGGTACAGCTTGGGCAGTCACTATCATCCATCCATGGCAGAAAGCGTTGTGGCAGTTGTGGTGGCAGTCTGCCATAAAAATGGACGTGGGTGATATTTCGTGCTTGATTGAAATTGTTCGACGAAGCATATTGTTGAAACCCGGAGTGAACGGTAGCCCGATCTATGAGGAGCCGGCCAGAGTTCACGAAATCGCAGCGCCGGGGAAAATTAGGACAGCTCGCATCGAAAGCGGATTTGGACGATGGCGGAGCGCACAGACGCTTTTGTGTATCTCCGGCTCCTCTTATGTCTTATGGCACTACACTCTAAGAAAAAATGGAGGAAAAAAGTAGCAACGGCGCGTCTTCCTCCCTAGTGGCGCGCCCCCAAGCGGACACCAGAGAAGGGGAGGAACAAAACGTTTTTCTCCTTCTCCAGGCAGATGGGAGCAAGCGTTCGCCCTCCCGATTCATCTTCTTGCGGTTTCGTTTTCGAGCAGTTCGCGCACGTTGTTTAATAAATAGCTGTTGAGTTGATTGAGCTTCAGCGGCAGAAAGGCCGCCTGTAAATCCGTCCTCTAGCCTAAGCTTGCAGAAATTTTCGGTTGCATTGACGTTTTTATCACTAATTTTATCAAATGAGCAAACGAAGCCGCTAGAAACAGCGCAGTTCCGGAGCAGTGCCAGCAGCACCACGTACACTGGGTAAGGTGGCCGTCGCCGGATTGCGGGACTCACATGGCACGGAACTACAGTAGCGAAACCACGCGCAACTGTGTCGCCGTTTTCGACGTTATAAAAATCGCAGTAACTGCGTCCAAGACAGGCAGAGACAGGCAGCTTCTGCTGCCAGCTGCCTGGGTGCCTTCCGCGCTGAGTTCGGTTCTGTTTTCCGATGCCGAGTGCAACCGGCGTTCAACGTGGTTCTGTATTTGTGCGTGTCGGCAACATAGCAGCAACATCGTGATGGCAGTGTTGTGGATCGTGAACAGAAGACTGGAATTATCGCCGATGTGATCGT